TAAAGCCTGGCAGCTTAATTACAAAGTGGAGTCGAACCTAAACGCTCCACGCTCTAATGCAGAGCTGCTGCGGGCAAACGGAGGCACAGGAAAACGCTGCGGTCTGTAAGAAAAATGAAGCTGCCACTCCTAAAGAGGGCTGGATATCAAACCTCCCAAAATGGACTCCACTAGTTATGTACTCGGTGACTTATTCTGCCGTTTACTTGTTTTATTTGGGCCAATTTCCTCACTGGCTCAGTGCTGCTAGACTCCATGGACATATTCCTTTTGTCATGGTCCTAACTAACAAAGGCCTCCTCGGATCGATTGCAGATCTTCTAACACATCGGCCATCGATCCTGAGCAGAATCCCCCGGAGGAGGAGTCTGACCACCTCAGCTTTGTTAAAGCAGATGCAGACCAGAGACTCTAAAGAGCCGAAAAGTGGTGGAAGCCATCCTTTTGAGCTTGGTCTCTTCTGAGGGACTGAATCTGCATCGGTTAGCTCCATTAAACCAGGTCAGTTCCTCACTCTGCTCCACAGAGCAGGAGCCCTTAGATGTGATGTTTCTGTTTCTGAGGCCAGCTCCCTGACATTCGACCACAGACAGACTTGAGTCGTGGTTGTGGGACCACCCCGTTGCCACGGCAACCGTTACCTCAAGGGCAACAGAAGGACGACAGAGGAAAAGTTTAAAAAAACGATGACGTGCGTGAGCTTAAAAGCGCATCCAGGGGAGGATTACGGGGACAAATCAGAGGGTTAACTTTGTCTCCAGAGCCATGATGAAAATCCAGGCTTTGTGGAGAAATGCACTTTGTGGACTGAGCCTCTGAAAAGCTACTTTTATCGGATGAAACTTGTGGTTTCCACTTCTAAAATGACTCCTTTAACAGAGTTTGGGGCTGTGTACTGTACATATAGGCTGGGGCACTGGCTCACTTTCAGATGGAGGCACATGCAGTTTAGTCATGTGTTTGTGAGTAACTGTGTTAGTCTTTGAGTTTTTTAAGTTATTCATGAAGCTCATTCATGAGCTGGAAAACAAATGAAAACAGACAACAACAAAGGTTTCCTGTCTGATGAACAGCTTCCCCTCCTGTGCCGCTTTAACCGGCTTTAACATGAACTGAATCCCACCAGTGAAGTCGTGGGTAGTTTTACTCGCCATCCCCACCTTTCCATGTACAGAAACATGTGGCACCGGTGTTACCTTTGGTTGTATTTTATGATTAGTCGTTTAACTTTTACATTTTTTAACTTTGATTTTTTTCATTTCTTTTTTAGAGGAAATAGAAAAGAAGAAACTGTGAGATCACAGCCATTGAAATCAAAGTTATTTTTCATAGAAAATAATATATAGAAATAATCGTTTGGAAGTTATTCTTGTTTCTGACAATCAAATACGTAATGGATAAATAGCTTTTCATAGGAATATTTTCTGATTAGCCTTTTTTATATTTTATTTTTACCCTACTTTTTAGAGGAAGTAGAAAAGACGACGTTAAAATCAAAGTTATTTTTCATAGAAAATAATCTATAGAAATAATGGTTTGGAAGTAATTCCTGTATCTGACTTTTAAATACTCTGCTTTAACCGGTTATAAAGTGAACTGAGGCCCACCAGTGGAGTCGTGGGCTGCACGGGGCTGGTTTCTCTCTCCGGGCCCGTTGCCGTGGTGCTTGGCGCCCTGGGCCTGAATGGCGCCCGGGTCCTGGCAGCGGCCGTGGTGGCGGCGGCCGCCGTGGTGGGCTCGGCCGTGGTCTCTGTGGCAACGGTGGTCATCGCCGTCTCTTCGTCCGGGGTGGTTTCCACGTCGGTGGGGAAATAGGCGGTGGGATCGGGCGAGAGGTACACGTCTTCCTCTTCTTCTTCTGTGGTGCTCAGGTCGTCGGATGCGGCCGAGGGCGGCGCGCTCTCCGCCGGGCTGGTCGCCGGGGCGGTGGTAACCACGGGAACGGCGGGCGGCGAGCGCGGGGCGGCCGTGGTGCGGCCGGCGGCGGCCCGGATGCGCTCCAGCTCCCTCTCCCTCTCCAGCTCCCGCTCCCGCTGCCTCTCCCGCTCCTTCTCCCGCTCACGTTCCCGCTCCCGCTCCTTTTCCCGTTCCCGTTCCCTCTCCCGCTCCTTCTCCAGCTCCCGGACGCGCTCCCGCTCCCGTTCCCGCTCCCGCTCCCGCTCCAGCTGCTTCTCCCGGTCCAGCTCCCGCTCCCGCTCCCAGAACAGGCCGCTCTCCCCGTCGGCCTCGGTGGGCGCCGGGCTGGAGGAGGCGGTGGCGGCGTCCTCGGGGCCGGGGCTGGGCTCCGCGGCGGGCGAGGCCGAGGGGGCGGGGCTTGTTGCCTGGGTGGTGGACGGGAGGAAGGGCTCCTCCGTGGTGAAGGACACGCTCACCGACGTCGTCCTCACGGTGATATCAGGAACTGAAGAAGAAGGGAGGAGGAGACCAGAGGATTCACAGGTTAAAACAGGACTGGAAATGTTCCAGATGGTTCAAAACAGCCTCAAAAAAGAGCCACTGAGGGGCAAAAGGTCAGACGTGCTCAGACACTTTGTTTCATGGTGCAGGATTTAGAGGGAATTCATTTCAATTCGATTCAATTTTATTTATATAGCACCACATCACAACAGCAGTTGTCTCACAGCGCTTTCCAAACAGAGCAGCTCAGACCCTACTCTGAAGTTAATTACAGAAACCCAACAATTCCCACCATGAGCAAGCACTAGGCGACAGGCAAGGAAAAACTTCCTTTTAACAGGCAGAAACCTGGAGCAGAACCATGGCTCAGGGTGGGGGGGGGATCTACCTCGGCCGGTTGGGGGTGAGGGAGAGAGAGGGCAAGAGAGAGAGAAGGACAGAGGAAATAGAGAGAGGCAGCCAACACAGCAACACACAGACTACATGAAAAATTGGCAATGATATTAAAACTAATGATAATGGTAGAAGTTATGATCCTGCTTCCTCTCCGGGAAGCAGGATGTGTTTGACCCCTCTCCTCCTCAGCAGAGTTTCAGTCTGGACTGAGCAGGAATCAACCCAAAACGTGAGTCAGAAGACGGGCCGAATCTGAGAATTTTGGCCCGTAGTTGAGGACTAATCTTTAGGAAATCCTGTTTGTGGACGGTTCAGCTGTCGGAAACGATGCAGCTGCAACATCCTGACTTTATGTCTCTGGTATCAGACGCTAGCTGAAATGACCTAAACGATTTCTTTTGCCAAACTGTGAATAATTCTTTCACCAAACTCCCAAAAACACGAGGCTGGAATCAGCCGAGGGGTAAAACCACACGTTTCTATCCCGATTCAACTGTGCACAAGAGATAACGAGAGTCTTTTGATGCGAACTTCTTGAAACTTTTTAAGCTTTTCAGGGAGAGAAACTTTTTTAAATGATCGATTGCTTGAGAAAACGCTTTTTTTTTCAAATTTAAACACAGACCAGTTACAATCTCTGCAGCTGCTGGGCTGAGATCTGCTCCCTCCAATGCTCTGTGATCACTCATCTTAAATGTCAGCCTACACACACACACACACGCACACACTCACACGCACACACACACAAACGCTGCATAGCTGTGCTTGTAATCAGAGCCACAATTAAAACTCTGTTTTCTTCTCATTTAGCTGTCTGACTTAAGAAGTGGAAACAATATAAATCAGACCAACTGCAGTGAATCTTAAGGCGAGCTGAAATGATGAAAAGTGGAGACCAGAAGGCACCAGAGTGGGTGTCTAACCACCCGTTCCACCTCTCCCTGACCCGGTGTTAGCGTGGAGTCTTTAGTTTGGCTCTCCGTGGCTTCTCTTTTTGTTCTGGCCTTTCAGCGTGGAGGGGGATCTTTACAGGGATGACCTCTGTTTTTTCACACACAAAGCGGCCGCTTTAGAGACGGGAGCTGAGTGCTTCACTTCCTCCTAACATCGTTACGGCACCTTTCATTTTGTTATGGCAGTGAAGCTTCTTGTGTTAAAAGAGAGCCAAATTGAGTTTACAGACACAAAGAGGAGAGGATATTTAGAGGAGCAGGAGCTGAAATGTGGACTTGAACGGCCCGTTTTCTCTTTGCCCTGAAACGACTTGTTCTGGGGGCCGCGGCATTAAAAGCACATCTGTCTGCTCAAACCCGGCCCCTTTCTTTGGAAACGCTCGATTCTAAATCACAGCCTGAGATAAAGCAATTTGCCGGGCTGCTGTCTGAACCGCGGGGGGGGG